AAATCAATAATCAAATTATAGTAAAACTTATGAAATTTCGGGGTTATAGCAGACGCGACAAACTTTATTTAAGACTAGCATTGCTTGCGACTTCGCCCGTGTGAAATAATAAAAATATAGCCTATGTAAAGACTTTTTATAATCGTTAGTAGTATTTAACAGACAAATCTTTCTGTCATGTACTAATGTGTTTTATATTCTCATATTTCTTATGTTCATAATTTACCCGACGTGCTTACGGTGAAGTAAAACATCGTGATACTTTCACATATCTACGAAGAGATTTATAAATTGTGTGTAGTCTCGCAATGGGTCAGCGTGGTTGACTATGTCTTAGTCATCCCTTAGGATAAGCTTTCATCTGCTTACTTCGTGCATATTCGAGCAAAGATGTTAAAGCGGGCACTACCACTTTGAGATAATTGGTCTTTACTGTGCGATTATTTTTCCATGACATTTACAAAGAAAACAAACTTATAAAACTCCTAGTTACGAGGTTGCCGTACTGAAGTAAAAGTCAGTTTTGCAACATAATAATTTACTTTCCATCGATTTAATATTGTTCAAGAATTCAATGAAAACTTTAATTAAATTTTCATCTGACTTCATAAAAATTCTTGCCGAGCTTTTCTTTCAGAAGTAATAGGGAAAACGAACGTAAATTGAATTTGTTTTTGTTATAGTCTAGCAAACGAAATTAATAATCGACGCTTGAGATTGTTTCGAAAGTTGTTTTAATTGCTTACTTTGTATGAAAGAGAACATTCTTTGTACATTAACTATACTCTGTAATATATTATGTATACCTAAAGCATTTTTCAAATACTCGTTCCACAGTCAAATGTATTAAAAATATTTTATACTAGCTGTTGCTCGCTACTTCGTCCGCGTGAAGTTAAAGAATACAGCCTATGTTTCTCACAGATAAATTACCTTTATAACGATAAAAGAATTTTTAAAATCGACCCAGAAGTTTTTGAGTTATTTCGATACATACAAAAATACAAATCTTTCCTCTTTATAACATTAGTATAGATATATATTATATTTACATACAAAGTTCGTTAACTAATAGGCAATATTCATAGATTTATTTTTACGGAGAAAATCTTTGTCTAAAAATACAGTCTTATCTAGATCCAACTGAAAATAAATAGGTCGTAAAATGCAGATGACGTCAAAGGAAATTATAGACCGACCAGTTATCTGACCCGGGTTAAAAGTCAATAAATTATAATAACTTACTACCTACTAACTGGACCTAACTGCATTGTGACCATACAATGACATTACACCAAAATTGGTAGGAAATAAACGTCCTTGACTATAACATGAGTGAAAATATTGCAGTTTCCTTGAATATTATGAAAATTAACTATATGATCAACATAAAACAAACATTCACTAGATTGCTTTATAAATATTAATAGCTTAATATACTTTAAGGATAGATTTATACAACACCAATATCATACAATATTAGAAGTGTAGGCATTCGATGACCATCAACTTGAAGGACAAATTTTGTATAATACAGGGTAAGGTTTTACTATAATTTATTTAATTGCCTTAACGTCTTATAAGGCAGTTTTATACTCTATTTTAACACAACTGTCGAATTGTTCAGTTAAAACTGTCAGAATTGATCATAGCACGGTTTATGTACTAGCTTTCGCCCGCGCCTCCGTCCGCGTGGTTAAAAAAGTGTGTAGCCTATGTGTTTTATAGACTATTCTTTACGTCTATGTCAAATTTCGTCGATATCCATTTAGCCGTTTAGGCTACAAACTCTAACAAACATCCATACATTTAAACTTTCATTTATAATTTTAGTAAGATTTATTACTTTTGAAATCAGAAGGTACTTGCATGCAAGAACTTGCCGTGTCGCTAAATATCATTACCATTATCCCAGGAGTAAATCCAGCTGGATTCGATCTCTGGACTGGAATAATGTAAATTGGGAATCATTTTCTTACATCTTGAATTAATACGAGGGCAGGATGTCGTTTAAGTTAGCCGACATTTGGTTTTTTTTTATAATAAAAGGGGGGCAAACGAGCGGCGAGAACACCGAGGTGGTCAGCGACGCCCATGAACATCCGCAACACCAGAGGAACTACAGATGCGTTGCCGGCCTTTGAGGAAATGATAGGCTCGCTTCTTGAAGGACCCTAAGTCGTATTGGTTTGGAAATACCGCCGAGGACAGACCGTTCCACAACGCGGCTGTGCGGGGCAGAAAGTTCCGCGAAAACCGCACGGTTGTCGAATGCCAGCCATCGAGGTGGTGAGGATGGTACTTGGCGGTCTGTCGTGTCGTCCGATGACGAAACTCGGCGGCAGGAATCGTTCCAAACAACTCCTCGGAACACTCCCCTTGGTAAATGCGGTAAAACATGCAGAGGGAACTGACGTCCCTCCGCAAGGCCACCAGGATCTAGCCGATCGGTAAGAGCTCGGTCGGTGACGATTCGAGTCGCTCTCCGTTGTATGCGGTCAAATGGAAGAAGCTGGTATTGGGGTGCTCCCGCCCAGAGGTGCAAGCAGTACTCCATGTAGGGCCGAACTTGCGCCTTATAGAGTTGAAGGCGGTGGCCCGGCTGGAAATACTGCTTCGCCCTACTGAGCACATCCAGCTTTTTGGAAGCCAGCTTGGCCTTGCCTTCCAGATGACCCCGAAACTGAACGTCACTCGATATGTCAACGCCGAGATTACCGATACTGGCTGAGGCAACCAGGGGAGTGTTCTGAAACCGGAGATTGACGACAAAGGGATCTTTTTTAATAAAGGAGATAGATAATTGAGTCTTGCTAGTTGTAGACTTATGGGGTTACTAGCTTTCGCCCGCAACTCCGGCCGCGTGGAATTAAAAAAAAAAACCAAGTAGTGTATGTGTTCTTCCAGACTATCCTCCACATCCTTACCAAATTTCATCGAAATCGGTTCAGCCGTTTAGGCTACAAACTCTAACAAACATTTATAATATTAGTATGATAGGCGATTCACAATCACCATAAAGCCACCGTACAAAAAAAAATAAAACTGTTTTTACCTATGTATAAACAAAAGATTTACAATATCTTGATGTGATATTACATAATTTGAGTTAAACACAAAGCCAATTATAGCGGAATACACAATGCAAATGGCATTTCTGATAATTGCTTTGAATACGGATTCAATGGATCGAAATAACGACGTGATGGCGAAGCGAATAGTGCATGACCCTAATTAACAATGCACGTACTGTAACACAGGTCAAACGTGCTTGTAACAAACGTATAATGTTGTACCAATTACCAATATTAACTAGCTTTCACCCGCGACTCCGTTTGTGTAGAATTAAAAAAACAAAAGTGGGTAGTATGTGTTCTTCCAGACTATAATCTACAGCCGTTTAGGATACAAACTCTAACATCCATCCATCTAAACTTTCGCATTTATAATATTAGTATAAAATGATAATAAAGGAAATATTGTTCTGTATCCATTTTGTAATGTCACCTACTTTTTTCAGGATACCTTATCACCATGCCAGAAGACTTACAACGAGACGAGACTTACAACTCATTAGTGCCCAATGTCTTTGACAAAAAAATACACTAATAACGAAATATTCTCATAAAACAATTCACTAAAAAGGTAACGAAATAATTTCTTGAGTATGTAAACCTCCCTTATTGTAGCTGTTATGTCTATATTGTACAATTTTTATTACTTCGATGTCGGTGTCAGCCAAGGTATACAGTGATATTTCTACATAATGCTTTCTACTTTTACAGACACCTGCGTTTAGGAAGTTGGTCAAAAAGTGTCTCAAGATCCTTCTCTGACTGTAGCTGTCTTTTGTTTCATTATCTATGTCTAATGAGATTTCATATATATTCTGATAGAAATAACGATTACAGTTTCATAACGGACAATTATATATCAATTGAGAATCAAAACAACTAACAAATGTGTTAACTATGATGATTTTCATTAAGAAACTATTAATTGTTACTTTTCTAAGTAATAATTTGTTCAGTCGTTATTTTTAACTTAATCCGATTAGACAGGCAGCCACTGGCTTTGAAAATATTCCATCAAGTCTTTCAGTTCCATAAATATAAGCATGAAATAAATTAATCTCGAGAATTTATTACGACTTTTCATGGAATTTTTTTTTCTTCCTTTACAATACACCAAATAGAATTCCTTTCAATTAAAATTTTTACCTTATTTTATATCTGGTGGCTCGTACTGATAAGACATTATTCAAAATAAATCGAGTTAACTCCTTTACCATTTTTGTTTCGTCGGCCATCTTGTATTTATATTAAAAAATCATGTAACGTGTAAAGAGAGACAGCGCAAACTAATATTTATTATACTAACTATTAACTGTACAAAATAAATGCAGACTAAATAGACTTCAATACATGTGTTCGCTATTAAATAAGCGCACCAGTAAGGGAGCATGAATATCCTCCCGCAAGGAATCTAAATTAATAAATCTTACCTATGATGTTAGCAGCATATTTATATTTTATAGTAAAATGTTGTAAACGATCTATATAAAGAGTTAAATAGTGATGCGACCGTTATTCATAAACATCTCCAACAAGATATCGATATATTGGATGTGGTGGGAAGTGGTTTATAATAATTTACCTACGGATTTAACATAAACTGTATCTAAAATGTATAAGTACAGAAACTGTTAGTGTCATCAAAGTAAAACCTATCAAGATAGCGCGTTAAATTGAAGAGACGATAATGAGAAGAAATAAAATCGGAACATTATTAAACCAAAATACGTCAAGGCAAATAAATTGTTATGACATCTTAGTAAATGTAATGTGAAAGACCGTCCCGTCTAGGTTACAAGCGTGCTTTGTATTATAGGGATGATTATAATATCGATAGTCGATATCTTAAGTTGCGGTACATCACTATTGCATACCACGTGGTGACGTGATTGTAAATTATAAACTGATCTTAGTATCAGTGTCCTGCGAAAGGGCTGCGCGAGCGCACGAGCGCACAAGTTGACGTTTTACAAATAAAGATGGCGTTAATTAAATTGGTACTATGTTTATACACATTGGGAATAATCGGGACCCAGGGCTCAAATCCTGTAGTTAGGGTAGCCCATGGTGTGCTTCAGGGTTCTTGGAAAGTCTCTACTAATGGAAGAAATTACGCCAGCTTCGAAGGTATCCCTTACGCTCGTCCACCTATCGGCAAATACCGCTTCAGGGTAAGTTAATTTTGTTACACTTAACTTTGCAACTGTTTGTATCAATAATTTCAATTTCTGAAGAAAACCATACTTCATACTATCATACTAATATTATAAATGTAAAAGTTTAAATGTATGAATGGATGGATGGATGGATGTTTGTTAAAGTTTGTAGCCTAAACGGCTGAACGGATTTCGATGAAAGTTGGTATAGAGATAGAGGATAGCCTGGAAGAACACATAGGCAGCTTTTGTTTTTTTTTGTAACTTACATACTTACATATGTATTACACTTCGTAGATTTTTATTTCAATCTAACAAAGCTGAATTTATTTATGAAAGTACATAACTTTAATAAATTGGGGTTCAGACTTTTCCATGAAGTATTTTATGTTTATGAAATATCTTACAATATTGAGATGAATCTTACAAATGAAGGTATATTCTTAAAAAAATATTCTTTAGAACATTTTCAACATTTACTTGAGAGGTATAAAACACCCGTATTTTGTAGAATATATATTGTACATAATCATTCGTAATCATTCTTTCATCTCTTTCATCCATGTCTATCTTAAAGCCGGTTTCCCAGCTTCTTTAACCATTCGTTAGTGTTTTTGGTTTTTTAACTTATGAAATCCTCATAATTTGCGATGTTATTATTCATATTTAAATATCGTTATAGTATTTGGTATATGTGACTGCGAACAGAGTCGCAGGAAAAGCGTTGGCTACAAAGATATTAAAAAAATATACCGATGAAGCATAGTTAACACTTTTCTTGAGACATTTTTCACATGAACCATTAACGCTATCTATTGATAGGTCCTCAAAACCACATAGCAATGTAATCAATTGTATTGAAATTAATTACTAATAGGAGCCATTACAACATACTAATACTAATTTTATAAATGCGAAAGTTTAGATGGATGTATGGATGGATGTTTGTTAGAGTTTGTAGCCTAAACGGCTGAACGGATTTCGATGAAATTTGGTATAAATGTAGAGGATAGACTGGAAGAACACATAGGCTACTCTCTTTTGTTTTTTTTTTAATTCCACGCGGACGGAGTTTCGAGCGAAAGCTAGTACAATTTAAATGTTTACATAACACTGTTTATTTGATAAAGAAGATGGAGCTTATCATAATTTTATTAAATGTTTTATAACATTTCAAAACAAAGACATAAGGTGGCACTAAACCTGACAACTAACATAGTACCTATCAAAGAAGTTACCGGTGAAATAATGTAGTTAACAGTCTGGTCTATATATTTCTTAAATATCTTTGGTTGGCTACAAGTGACGTAGGCGAACAGTTAAGATTACTCGCGTGCAATCTATTAATTCACGTTACATTGAAACAGTAACTAATAGACTACATCTTATCTCGTAGTCAAGGCCTGCTATACAAAAACACGATTATTTAACTTTGTAGTATTCTACGGTTATAGAATATAACGAGCTGTCGCCCGTAAACTTCGTTATTTTTTTAAAAAGTCATCTATCACTTTCCCTCGTGCATCTTCCTTCTACCAGCTATCTTTTATTCAAAGTCCCGTCAAAATCGGACCACCATTTATGCTATTTTGACAGGGCAGATTTAAAGTATCGGCCCAGCCGTTTTAAAGATTACCCGGAATACACGCGTTTTGTAAGCAGACAGAAAGACAGAGAAGCAAATTTTTTTTTGCGATTTTCGTTATCAACGACGCAATAGATCATTTTCTCTACCTACGTAACAAACTAACTAATTAAAAACAATATTTTGTTATAACACAACAGAAGCGAATACTCTGTATGCAAATTACTGAAACGGCAATACATTCCTAATTAGATGCTGTTTACAATACAATGTAAATTAATGGTGAATTGTTATTTAGTAAAATAACGGGACAATGCGGAACAAATGTAATTCATTACATCACACATAGTTTTAATGTTTTTTAACCAAACGTTTGTTTTATAAGATCAGAATATAACCAAAACCATATACGCCCAGTTTTAACTGAAAATAAAAATAATCTAAAATCTACTAAAAACATGAAATCTATTAAACAAAAATCAGTACGGATATCATATGTTCATGATTGAAAAGTGTTGATTTGATCAATTTTGTTAATATTGCCCAGTTCACACTATTCCAGTCCAGCAACCGATGTGCTCAACTGGAATAATGTAAAATGGACATAAAGTATAAAACTCTATTATTTCAGGAACCGCAGCAAATGAAGCCCTGGCTGGGTGTGTGGGACGCCACCAAGCCACTATCAGAATGTCTCCAATACGATCCTTTTGTAAAGAAAGTCTCAGGTTAGAATTTGAATTTTATTGTTTGTGAAGAATTCGTTGGGAGCACTAATGTAGCTGTCAAAGAGGACATTCGGCCGCATACTGAATGCACATTTAAATATGTAAAGCGTCTTAAGCACACCTGAAACTAAACTATCGCACAACTGTTTAGTCGCGTTTTGATTCCTATAAGCAAATATGGAGGTGCGCACATTACTCGATCTTTAGTTTTGTAACTAAACAGTTGAATGGGCTGCAAAACAATCGACTATCCTACAATAATTGTGCTATAGTTTAAAAGGTGTGCTTCCGCTCTAAAACTTCAAATTAAAACTTTGACGTCTGACAGATTGTAAGTAGTGACTGCTTTAACATCCTAGCACTGCAGGGCCGGCACGCCCAGTGTAATATCATGACCACACAGAAGACAGGCGTCAAATGGAAGCAATTCCGTGTTTCGTCTGATGAAAGTGGTGCCGGAGGCCTAGTTTACGTCCCTTTCTCTTTGCCACCCTTTTCTTAGAAGGAGAGGTTGGGAAGAGGAGGTGGATTTGACGGTGGAGAAGATGCATAGGAAGTGGAAATATCCTCTTTATGTGCGTCTCCTTCTCCATTGTATAAGGTTAGGCAACGCATCTGCAATTGCGGATGTCTATGGGCAGCGGTCGCTTCGCCATTTTGGCGGTTTCAGGTGGCCGCTTGCTCGTTTGCCACCTTATATTATAAAAAAAAGCGGTTTCAGATTCGTTTCAGTATTCAGGAGAGTTTATATTAAAAGTGTAAATACACTCATTGACGTCACTATTAAAATGACCAATCATTTGGTGTGTTATAAAGTAAAAAAGTGTGAACCATTTTATATTCAAGAAAGTCAATTAAACTTAGATTTAGGTTTTAGGTTTCAGTCGTGATTTTATGAGTTTTTTATCTTTGTAATGTTGCAGGTAGCGAGAACTGCCTGTATTTGAATGTACACACTCCAAAGCCAAACGCCGCAGCACTCCTCCCCGTACTGGTGTTCATTCACGGCGGGGCTTTCATGTACGGCGCGGGCGGACTCTATGACGCCTCGCACTTTATGGACAGGGACATAATTGTCGTTACATTCAACTATAGATTAGGCCCATTAGGTCAGTTAAAAATGCGTGCAACAAAACTAAGAAAATTTCTATTCAATGAAAAAAAAACATAAGTTACATTAAGTACGAAAAATCCTTCAAAAAAGCCTTTGTTTCTAGGATTCCTGAGCACGGGTGATGATGTGATACCCGGTAATGCCGGCTTGAAGGACCAGTCCTTTGCGTTGCAATGGGTGAAGAGTAATATAATGATGTTTGGTGGCAACCCTGACAGCGTCACGTTAACGGGCTGCTCCGCTGGCGGCGCTAGTGTGCACTACCACTATCTTTCACCTATGTCTAGAGGTAAATTGTTTTAAACATTATTTTTACATCTGTACTAGTTTTATTAGCAAATATATATTTCTACGGAAACCTTTATTCTTACTAATAATATAAATGCGAAAGTTTAGATGGATGGATGTTTGTTAGAGTTTGTAGCCTAAACGGCTAAACGAATCTCGATGAAATTTGGCATAGATGTATAGGATAGTCTGGAAGGCTATTTATTTTTAAAATCCACGCGGATGGAGTCGCGGGCGAAAGCTAGTAATAAATAATTCTTAAAACTAATAAGTTTTCTAACCTATAAAATTGAGGAAATATGTCTCAAACACTTAACTCAATGCATTCCATTATATTATTGTCAGTATATCAAAACGTAATCGTAGTTATTTTAATATGATAACAAAAAATAATAAGCCAACTCTGTAATTCAACCGTAAATAAATAATTAAAACGTCAAGAAACCAAAACCATAAGTAAAGTAATTAAAAAAACATTGCTAATATCATTTGCTTAACATTTATTATTTATTTTGTAGTCAAAATTATCTTATAAGATTGACACATGCTAAAAATAAGGTTGTATAAAAAAACAACTGAAGTTATACAAAAGGCTCTCTGTAAGAGCGGGCGAACCACTTTGACTAAACTATCGCACAACTGTAATACGATTGTCAATTGTTCCTCAGCCAATTCATCTGATTAGTTGCACAATTTAAAATCGAGTAGTGTAAGCTCACAGGAATCAAAGCGTGACTAAACAGTTTTACGATAGTTTAGTAAAAGGTGTGCGCGCTTTAATAGTTACGTTTAGGGCCTAGATATAGCTGTATAATTTATTCAAGCAAATATTTGGATAAACCTGTAGCCCAGCTTTGTTATTCCATTTTATCTGTCTTAACATGACTCTTGTCTGTTAAACTGTTAAACATTTAATAACAAACAACCACTGACATTTTCCACTGCGTTTAGATTAAGAGATAGTTATATTTATTTTAATAAAATATATGAAGTGAGTACGATATAAGTGTTTACTCTGTGTTTCCATACATGTACACTTGTATTCAATTTTTGATGTTGGTTTTCGCAGCCAAAAGATACTTAGTCCTCATCCTTTATCTAAAGGTAATAAAAGGGGTCTAAACTTGTTACAACACAAGTATCATGACAATGAAAACACCGTAATGTGAAGCCGCCAGCTGCAAAGCATGACAAAAAAGAGCATCATATTGCGATAAATTAACAAATGAGTGAATTCAAAAGTGACCATTGTTATCTCGAAGAGTAGGACTGTGATTACCCTCTGTAGAGAAAAAGGGATATAATATTGCGACAAGTAGATAAATACGATAGTCATACTGTCGTCAGCTATCACAGTTATCTCTGCACACAAACAAACATTGTGCTCGGAATAACCAGTTCACCTTCACCTGGAGAGGTTATGAAAATAATTACTCACGCCTTGTTTGTTAACAAATAATTGCAGTAGTAAACATTTATAAAAGTTTATCGCCTGGTAACATAAGAGAGTGAAACTCTTAATTCTTATGTCCTGATGACTCTTATGTCCTAATTCAACCCTGCACAGATAGGTGCCAAGTGGACAAACATAATAACATCCCACTGGTACCTTAAATCACGAGCGACCATAAGTAAATGAAATGATAATGTAAAATGCTTTATTGTTTATTGGTGACTGCCTCCTGTGGTAGGTGGAAACCTGTGTTATAGGAAGCAGTACCTTCTCTTAATCTAAATTTAATTAACAGGTACTTTTTGTGCATGAGTATTAGTGTGTGGTGTGTGTATGTGTTAGTGTTTGTATGTATGTATGGTATAATGGTATTACACTTTTTTTTTTCAGACACGTTTCACAGAGGCATAGCATTCAGCGGTTCTGCGTTTGCGTCGTGGACGCATGCTGTGAAGGCTGGTCAAAAAGCGCGCAGCCTGGCTGCCGTAGTGGGTTGCCCTACCGGAAATACGCGGGAGATGGCCGACTGTCTGCGATATCGACCCGCTGAGGTCGTCGTCAACGGACAGGTTGAAATGTTTGTGAGTATCAAACGAATCATACTTAGCATATTAAAAACAACTACATTATGGTGGTCGCTAGGGTTGGTAAGCTGCCCCCACTTAATTTAGCCAAGATCATCGGCTGGTGACTCCTACGAGCTAAATGAGATACGGATAACTAACTTGTGATCTTACAAATATTAGAAATGTGAAAGTTTGGATGGATAGATCCATGTTTCTTAGATTTTGTAGCCTAAATGGCTGAACAGATCTCGATCAAATTTGAAATTTTGCATAGATTTCTCCTCCCTTAAAGGCGAGCAGCTGATCTGCAGTTCCCTTGGCTTTACGGATGTTCATGAGCGTCGGATCATTTAATAAGCGATCTGCAGCTCTTTTCCTATAAAAAAAAGATGTAGAATACAATCTAGAAGACCACATAAGCTACTTCATAAGCTAGTAACGTCATGTTTCTTCAGCCATATTTCTACCTTAAATTTTAGAAGAGGTACTTAGCTTTACATTAATTAAGAGACCTACCAATGCATTCAAAGACTAAAGTATAGTAATTAGTAAAATTAATAAGAAACTTGTTGTAACAGGAGTGGAAGGTAAACTTGTTCACGCCGTTCACGCCGACACACGAGGCGCCGAGCGCGAAGTACCCGTTCCTTACGCAGTACCCGTACCACGTGGCCAGAGCTGGTGGTGTACAGAAACTGCCTCTTATTACCTCCGTCACCTCCGAAGAGGGACTGTACCCCGCTGCAGGTAACTTAATATCTTAAATTTTGTAGTAACTTATGTCTGTAACTCTTGATTATTGTGCATGTCTTTGGCCTAAGCTATGTAGTCAGCAACGCTAACATTGCTGCACCCGTAGATATGCACCTCGGTATACAAGATTATTATACGGCTGATTCATGTGTGGGGAAATTAAGAGCGGGCGCACACTTTTGACTAAACTATCGCACAAAAGTTGTGCGATTGTTGATTGCTTTTCAGACAACTCAACTGTTTAATTACACATCAAACACATCTAAAAATCGAGTAGTTTGCGAACCTCCATATAAGCTCATAGAAATTAAAGCGCGACTAAACACTTGTGCGATATTTGAGTCAAAGGTGTGCACGCGTTCTTAATCTAATAGACGTGGGCTTGCGTGAATAGCATGCTAGATGTTACGTGTATTAGTTACAGCAGTTAAAACAATACAGAATTGTGATTATTCTGTTTCCCAGTTTATCAAACCGATCCCACGATCCTGAAAGAGTTGGACTCCCGCTGGGAGCAACTGGCGAGCAATATATTTGAATACAACGATACCTTGCCGTTGCAACTGCGTAGCGCTGTTGCTGAGAAGATCAGACAACATTACTTCGCTGGCAAGTCAGTCGGACAGGACACGTTTGATCGATTAGTACAGGTCAGAATAGATTTAACCCTGACATTCTGTTTCATATATGTTCCCGAATTATATTTAAGATATTTTTTAAATCTTTAATCGGAGGAGGAGTTATTTTTATTTTTAAAAAGACATACCAAACCCATAGTACTGCTGTTAGTAATTATGAAACGAGCTGGTATAATCGTACAGCCGCGGTTTAAGATATAAAAGGGAAAAGTAGTAAAACCTATAGATGTGATTAAGAAAAAAAGAAAAAAGCTCGCAAATGTAAACCTGTCTCTTGAGTTGTTCCTTCTTAAGTTTTGTATTTTCCTTTGCAGGCTTTAGGCGACCGTCTGTTCGTGGCTGACGTAGGCAGGCTGGCGCAAACTCACGCCAGTTCCGGACAGCCCACATATCTGTACCGGTACTCGTTCCGGGGAGATCTGAGCTTATCCAACCTTATGGCACAAAACGACAAAAACTATGGTAATCTCTTTTTATATTTAAACGAGCTGTTGCCCGCGACTTCGTACGCGTGGTATTATAAAACATACAAACTATAAAAATTACAAAAAGCTACGTAACCCTCGGGAACCGGACATTTCTCGGGGATGAAGCTTATCCCATGTGTACTCCAGACTTTGTTTTAGATATGAAAATGTGCCAAATTTCAATAAGATATGTTGAACCGTTGCAGAATGATCGAGTAAACATTAAAAAATTAAATTAATGAATCCCACGGGAACCGTAACTATTCCAGGTATAAAAAGTAGCCTATGTGTTCTTCCACACTATGCTCTAAACCTATGCCAAATTTCATGGAGATCCGTTCAGCCGTTTAGGCTACAAACGCTAACAAACATCCATCCATCCATCCATCCATCTATCCATCCATCCATCTAAACTTTCGCATTTATAATATTAGTAAGATTTAATATGTCCAATATCACTTATATATCCATATTGTCACTTTAAATTAAACCAAAGAGTGTTGAAAAGTAATCTTTGTAAGCCACCATTAACGAAGATTCACATAACCGTAAAAGATCCACTTCTAATAATGTAATTAACATCCATAAAAGTTATTAACTCATTTACTTTTATATTCTCCAATGTTTTCTCATTTCATGTCCAGGTGTGAGCCACGCGGACGACGTGATGTTAGTCTTCAAGTTCATAGGTAGCTCGGACTCGCCAGCAGACGTGCAAATGAGGAATATACTTCTCGATATGATCTACAGCTATGCGTCAACCGGGTAAGTAACCATAATATTTAATGTTACCGTGTATTCGTCTACTCATCGTCAACTAGGCATCGCACCTTGCATCACAACTTCCACGGTGCGGCGTTTACTCGCAGCCGCTTCTGTCACCAACTTTTTTGCAAAATATAATGTTATTGCCGCGTACACAAGTTACAGCACGCAGTCCCCGGGGCATTGACGTTGCCGGGTAAATGTGCATTAGGTGAATCCGCGTTAATCTTTGAACTTGATAATTGGTGCCTGAATAAGAAATGCAAGCAATATTGAACTACTAATAGTTTGCTATTACTTTTATTTCTTTACATTGGATTAAGTAAAATTAATTTATGTTGTTTTTTCAGTGTACCAACTATAAAGAATGGACCGCAATGGCAAACCGTAGCCCCAGGATCTCCAGAACTGAACTACTTAGAGATCGCGTCTCCAACTGATGTCACAATGAAATCGAGTTCCGATTTCGGCAACCGCTCCTTCTGGGATAACCTAGGATTTGTTGAGAACCAAAACTACAACATATACATAAAAGATGAGCTGTAATTAATTTTCATATTATACTTAGAGTTATATTTATGTTACTATAAATAATATTAATTCAATCTATCTTCTTTTATCTATATGTTTATGTATACTGATTGCTTAATTATTTTAAGTAAAACTTTTATTACAATTTCTACTTTTATTATCCTTCAAAGTTGTATTAATTATTTGGGAGCGGCTTTCAATTTCTTAGTACATATATTATATGTTGGTCTCATACGCAGGTAAGTAGAGGCTAGATATAATAAGTAAACGCGTCCAGAGCTAGTACCGATCCGGCGTTGTGCCGACAACTCTCCAGACTCACAAATAGTAAGGTTGTAATCATGGGCATCGCCAGAGCACCGGGGGCGGGCAGAATCGAAAAAATATATGCTAAAATAAAATAAACACCTGGACACCCACAGAGATAACTCAAAAACATTTGTAAGTTGTTCATTAAAAAAATATTTCAAATTCCTATCCCTCCCTCCCCTTTGACCATAGTCTGGCGACGCCCATGGTTATAGTATTCTAATTTTGGTAACCTCAGTGTATTTTCTCATGCACCAAAAAAATCGGCCAACGACCTCTATTAGGGTAAATATAAATTATAAAGAAAAAGGTCGCTCAAGGTCTTGAAGTATATGGTAATACTAATCGTTATTACTATTATGACAAGAATTGTTGCTTAATAAAAGACCTAATTTAATCAAGGAACTGATTAAATTATATCACAGTCTATTTTAATCGGTTATGATAGATCAGAATCGATTAAATTTTACATATGTTTGTGTCTAACGCACATTAGCCTTGCCTATTCTTGCCTACGTCTGATGACTCAACACAGCTGATGTAATTGTTTCCTTACGCCAAACACATTTTTTATACAGGTACAAAGATCACCAGAAAACAATACATTGGCTCAGTGACAGAACAATCTAGAATCTATTTTAGTTTTAGTAAAACTAGTGGTCGCCTATTTGTCGAAATACTCATAATTAAATTTTTGGATGACAAATGTTTCTTAAAAAGGAGCAGTTTCTCTTCTGCATACATCTGTCTTTTATCGAGACTATTTTGAGTCGTTCTAGAGATATGTAGTAACTAATATCCATCCATTCACCCTTAACTTTCGCCTTTATAATCTTATGTTTTTAATATCTTTAACGTATAAATTATAACACGGCTAAACTCACGTGATAACATTCGGTGTAGGCACCGACAGTTTCGAACCCGTTGGGGGTCCTTCCTTCTTTAGCCGTGTTATAATTTATATAGTATAATGTCTCACGAAAGTTTTAATAAGTTAATCTTTAACGTGTTTTTACATTAAATATATAAAAATGAAAAAAAATCGATTAATTACTAATCTTACTAATATAAATGCGTAAGTTTAGATGAAGCCTAAACTGCTGAACGGATTTCAATGAAATTTTGTATAGACGAGGATAGTCTGGAAGAACACAGGCTACTTCCTTCTTCCTACTTCCCTTGTTTTTTTAATTCCATGCGGATGGAGTCGCGGGCGAAAGCTAGTATTCTAATAATGTTATTGATTTTATTTCCTCAGAACTTTATCTACAGTTTTAATCACAAGAGTTAATGAGTCATACACCTAAATGCAAACATTTTGGTGAAATCAGCATGATTGTACAATAATGATGCAATATTGATATTTTGTGACAGGGTGAAGAAGTAAGAAAATACTTGCCTCTTAATGACACAGAAAGGATTACTGCACAGTTCAACAGTACTAAGCTGCAATTAGTAGATATTCAACAATTTTGTAGAAACCTTTAAGTAAACGTTGATGTCTTATTATTTATAAACAATGGAATGCAAGCATTATATGAACATTGAAATAAAACAATATTTACAATAGAAAATACAAATTTATTCTACATTCCCTTTTACACCTCACTCCCTTTCCCTTCAATAAAATATCAAGCAAAGTACAACTATGCATATAAAGTCTCTATTATGCAATACATTTAGCAAAAATTAAAACAGTTAAAATGAAGCCACAAACCATTGATTCAACAAATTAAATTTTAGAAATATAAATGGACTAGTGTATAGGAAAGTGTGGTTAAAAATTTAAACATGAAATGCAAAACAGCAGAAAATATCGAAAAGTGCTTAAACTTTGATAAATTTGCAAAACATAGATAACATTAGTCACATATTATATTTTTACCAGATTAACAAAAGGTAAATTTCTTATGGACTTTGTTCTGCCAAGATAATATAAGATATACTACATTTCTGGTAAAATAAACAGTATCCAAATAGGATATATTGGAATAAAAACTAAATCTATACAAACACAAAATAGGAAACACACAAGCATTCAAAACAATACAACTTCAGCCTTTTGTTATAAATAACTAACAAGAGAAAGAAAAATAATTAACACCATGACAAAAGCACAAGTTATAGTTACAATGTTTTTTAATAAGTAAACTCTTGAAGAGCAAGTGCCAATCTGCCGTTGTCTACACAACTACCCAGTCTCACAAATAGTAAGGTTATAAACAAATGTTTTTTTTTTAATTTGTTCCACATCTAAAGTTTAACAATACAAGAAAAAACATTCTATTAAAGATGTTTAAATATTACATTTTCCTATAAAAGTGAACTTGCTAGGCAAGGTGGCACAGACCATATTAAGTTAGAATACAAGTAACTTAAGGTTATACATGTCTTTTAAGCAAATATCAGATGTTATTATCAATCTTGATTCATATATTTACTCATCTTTCTTGTCACCGCTTGCAACAGTTATTTTCTTCTGCAGTATGCTGTGCTCCTCAGCAAGACGATCATATTCTCTGTTCAAACTCTCAGCTTGAGATTTTACAGCTTCCTTGTCCTTTTTCTCTTTAGCTAAGTCTTTCTCCAGTTGAGATACTTGAGACTTCAGTTCCTCGATTTCCTTCTTATTCTTCTCGTCTCCTGATCCCTGTTGGTCTAGAAGGGACCTCGCAGCAACAGTAGCGCTTTGCGCTTGACGGAAGTTGGCCTCAGATGTAGCAAGCACAGTCGCCAATTCGGATATCAGTTGAACAAGACGACGAATTACAATAAGCAAGAACAACGCGAATCCGGAGATATAGAAGTTCCTCTGTGCACGGAATAAACGCATATTACCTTGCATTTCGGCATCCAGATGTTGATGTTCTGATGATTCCAAGCTTGAATACTTTTGCATTTCCCGAATAGCATCTAGCAGACATAGTACCAACACTCCAATTAGAATAAGGAAGTAAATAGACGCTTGCCCGCTGATGTAAGCCAAAAACTTTGACTTGAAGAACCTTTGCCATTTCGAAGGACTTGCTATCGGCAATGTTAGCAAAAGCACAAAGGCTATTTCGGCGTATAGAAATGATGCAATTATTGTCCACTGAAGACTCATATTGACTTTTTTATTTTTGATGTTGAAATATGCACTTAACTTGTGTACCTTACACAAGAATGACGAGAACCTATTGAATTAAAATTGCAAATCTACCGACTCGAAAATATCCGTGACTCATTAAAAGACAAAGTCAAATATGACATATGACGTGTTCCTATCAAAACAATGTGAATGTAATATGCCACTTTTTAAATTAACACCCGTGTTATTTTCAATGGATAAATACATGCCTGCAAGCTAGCTTGCTAAATTAAACGAATTTTTTAAGACAAGTACTGTTAAGTTTTTCAATTGTTTTTTTTAATAGATAGAAGCTGCAAACGAGAAACTTGCCGGGAAAAAAAAACAAATGTCAAATTGACAAATGACAATTCAACCAAACTTTGACGTCATTTATAAAATTTAACAAAAAATATTTTATTTCAAAGCAGTTTCGAGACAAAACAAACGAAAACTATAAAAATCGATTAACTTTACAATGGCAGATCCTAAATATGAAAACCTGCCTGGTATCGTAAGTGTATTCACCGCTTTTTGATTCATAAAAATCAATTTTGACTTTACTAATGGTGAGTAATTTCTTAGGCTTACGACCAACCTGATGTGTACGAAACTGGCGATCTCCCGGAGGCTGACCAACCTGAACCATTCGAGGAAGAGGAAAATGAGAATATTGAACAACTACATCTCTCTGTGAAGGATTCCTTCAACAAGTTTAAAGGGAAATTTCTTACTGGAAATGTTGATTTCTCTGATAGACTAAGTAGAAAAACAAGAATCGGTTACAGGTAGGCCTATTAAAATCGTACAATTTACTGTTGATAAACTAAGCAACATTTGAATATTCATAATTTGTTAGGGCTGGTGAATGGGAATTGGCAGCAGAAGGTGAGCCTGAGACTGTACTTGAGCGGTACAACAGGCTGCGCTGTGAGTTCTCAGAGCTTCTGGAACAAGTTACAGAGCAGAAAGATAAAGCCACTGAAAGTGAAAAGGTATTCTATATAATTTCATACATCTACAATATTTAATACTTCATATCTTAAAACGGAAAAAAGATAAAAGTGTGTATCCTTTTATAATCTTTTTAGGATGAACATATTAAGCTGGCAGCTCACATAAATTCTACAAAGAAACTTCTTGAAGAGTTGAAGTTAGAAGAAGGGGAACAGATAGATCCTAAAGCTGAAAAACTGAAGTAAGATTTGACTTGTCTTTTATTTGTGTTCTTTTAGCAATAGATTTAACTATACTGTGGTTTTAGTTGCTTTTTATTCAATAAAAATATATCAACCTTTTTCTAAGTTTGGTCAATTTTATTGATATGTTCATATTTTATATTAATTCATTTTATGCTTTAACTTCCAGAGAATATTTAGCAACAAATGCTAAGAAGAATGCAGGTGAGGTTGTGACAGCGCAGCTCAAACTGAAACCGGAGGTAAACTTGGCACAGACCACACGAATTGCACAACTTGAATACAGGTAATGATTGTAAAATGCAGACTATGCTCGTAATTCTCAAACAATGCTTTATTACATTCCTAACATTTTGTTTTAAGTGTTTTTGGAATAACATGAATTTTTAATTAAGATTACACAAACTGGAGCAAGCTGCTGGAGTAAGAGATGAAGAAGCTTTCAGAAAACTTCAAATTGCAACTGGAGAGGTAATGTACAAATAACCATGTTTACCAACTGGCATTTCCATGGCATGAAAATTATAGTGACATTCAGCCATAATAACCTGGAGATCAGCTCACAGTTAGCAAGGGTGAAGCTTAGTGGACCAGTTAGCAATCAGCACAATTTAAACTGGCTTAGAGGCTTGTTATCAAGTTACCAAAATGTTCATGGATTAGCTCCATAGTTATAGTGCAATCACATTGAGTTTTGAGCTAGTAATTCAGGCAAATCTGAACTAAAAAGTTCAAGGCTACATTTCATTCGGTTCAGAACTGATAACCCATATTTAGTGACTGAAAATGTGTATCAGGCGACACTGTGCGGTGCGGCGGCGACCCTAGCTGCGCGCGCGGCGTTACTACGGCCGGCAGAGCTCGCGGCGGCAGACGCGCGCATTGCTGCACTGCTCGCCAACCTTGACACCCTGCGAACTGCACTTAAACCTGCCAACCCTGAACTGGAGGCCAAGGTAGGCCAAATACAGATATCTTACAAATCAAGGAGTCTCTTATTTTCTTAATATGATTACGGAATTTAGACCTATAGTATGTAACTGTACTTTTGAAGACAGAATTTATATTATGCAGGTAAATGAGCTACACAAGCTGCTCCAACAAGTTGATGGTGTATCACATGCTGAGATACTTGAGCGAATTGAGGCACTTGAAGCTTTACACAACCATGGTAATCACTCAATATTCTCTTTTTAATTTCTGTAGTTTAATGATCTTTGTTATGTCTCCTTAGCAAAGAGTTAGAATAAGAAATATGTTTAGCTTGATAATGTGAACACTATGCTTGATCGTCCTGGCCCACATGAAGCAGGCAGACCTTCATGGGCAGTCAATACACTAGCCCCAAAATAAGTAATAATATGCTACATATAGTTCTATACACCACAATCTTGTAAGTCTGACCAGAAATATAACAAAAACGAAATAGATACGAGAAAAAAATAAAGAACTTATCAGATTGTGCTTTAATACAGAAGTTGATTGATATACCTTCAGGCCAGGGTTTTTACATTATTCATTAAGCAACATCACTCAATTTGTATATAACCCCAAAATGGTTCTTTAAATTTTATTTCTTGTTTATAGCAAAGAACTTTGGCAAATCACTCGCCGAGTTAGAAACCCTGCAAAGTACAGTAGCAAGTGGTGTACACAATAACAAGGAGCTATTACAAGGCGTACAGGAAGTGTTTGCTCACAATGTAGATAATTTGCATAAAGAGATACGAAAACTTGATGAGAGGATCTCCAAGCTCGCTGCAGCCTGATGCTTTAATACAAATGGCAGTGGAAGTCATAGTTTATAGAATTGTCTATGTACAAGTGAATCTTAATATGCTTATATACTTATCAATAGAATTTATGAATGTTAAAGCAAATTTAAGAAATGAAACATAAGAAAATTTTGTCTTGTATGTGAATAATAAATTTAATGATTTGGAAGTAAAGTTATAATAGATACACTTGCATAGATATCACTCATAACTCACTAATGCTTACTTTTTTTCTATGGAGATTGTGTTGTGTTTGAAAATTTTCTTTGCAACTCTTTGATGTATTTATTAAATGAGTTACAATTGGCTCTTATAACTTGTTTTTTCATTAATTTTAGCACTAACTTAAGTTTAATAAATATGTTTATAATACATAACCAATGTTTTAGTTATTCTTGGCATCTATTTCTTTAAAATCTATGTCAGTTTTTCAAAAACTTATGAAAAACCCAAGACAGTATTTATGTGTAAATTATCAAGTCCCTCTACTGATCAGCATTCCAATAAATGTTATTGAAATTATTATTTTGCATGTTTATTGTCTTATTTGAATTGTAATTTTTTGCATACATGTAGTATTATGTTGATGACAGCTTTTAAGATAATAATTTAAAATAAAGCAATTATCGAACTGAAAACATGTTTTATTTATAATCTAACAAAAAAAAATACCTTTGGAAGTTTACAGTGAAGAAATGGACACCTAAGTAGGGAGAAGGGTAATGTTAAAGTATTTTTGTTCATCAGATTACTATACTAATCTTGGTAATCGCAACTTTGGTAACCATTACCACTTAAAATAGAATCTTACTAATATTATAAATGCGAAAGTTTGAATGCATAGTTGGATATTTGTTAGATGGCATCAAAGTGGATCATTGTATCTGTTATTTAACACAGATAAACATAATTTGGAAGAACACATAGGCTACTTACTAAATTTTATTATCTCGTGTAGTCGCACATAATAGCTAGTGTTAAAATAAAACAAACCTTCCATTACATAAGTAATGTATTTTTTTATGTTAAATGTACATCTTAGAACCTAAGCTTCTGGAAGAACCACTTGTTCTTCCCGCTCTTGTATCTTTCCTCGAATCGCACACGGGTGTTGAAACGGAGCTTCTTACGTTTGGCGGGGTCCTTCAGGTCCTTTGCACTTAGCTTCTCAAAACTGAAGTCTACCGAGTAACGTGTAGGCATCAAGTGATTGTAGTTTACAACCTGGAATTCAAAGTTTGATTTTATTTTTTGTGGTTTCAAAAAATCATTTTAGATTTAAGTTGTTACAAATAAATTCAAGATAAAGTTGTTACAAACAAGATCCCAAAGGAAATTTGATGTTTTTATGCCACAAAATAATTGACAAATTTAAAACTGTAGAACTAGAGTATAGTTGTTTTCTAAGTTTATACATAACCTCTACTATAGATTAAAAAGGCAAATTCCTTGGAGGTTACTGATTTGTAAATGCGAGCAAGCAACAATAACATAATTTTAGTAGCATTTGACTTTGTAATACTTATAAGTAAAAATATTTAAATTAACTTACCTTGACGAAAGGCTTTATCTTGGAGCGCTTGTGAATTTTGTTTTTGCCCATCCTCTTGTGAACTTTACGTGGGTATCTGTCAATGCCGGCGACGAAAGCGTGACCGTATGGCTTTTCTGATGTGCCCTCGTCGTAGTTCTTCACTACGATGGCTTTGCGGCCTGCGTACCGGCCACTGAGGACCAGCACCACTTTACCTGGCTTCATTATCTTACCCATCTTGGATGGATCTGAAAGACACGAGAACTAACCTTCAAACTCCGATGTCATAAATGTATACAAAACAAGAAGTTTCAATCCACTGAATATTAAAATAACATCACTTTAAACTTGGATCTATAGAAAGTTATGTTACAGTTAATTCATAAAACATTAGAATTACTTCAACCATAAACACAATTCTCACTGTATTTATTTTGGGTATCAAATTTTAGGTAGAGATACCATGTAAATACGACATGGATTTATGAAATATCATTACAATTGTCACTGTAAATAGGGATTTGTTGATAAATAATAATTGCTCACTATGATTTCTTTGGATTATTTCGGAAAAATTACAAAACTCACATTCCCATATACCTGTCGACAATAAAAAGACAGCATAGGCAACTGACAGGCACAGACAAGAAATGTCATCATGGTACAGATTAATAATATGTCATGGAGTTTATTTCCAATAGCGAATTTGAAATAAAAAAAAAACATAATAATACTTCTAGCAAGTATCTAAATTTTTTTTTTATTTTGATCATAAACATCTCTTTTTCTCTACGCTAGAACACCAAAATCATGAAAAAGTGAAGAAATGTAGAATTCCCGCGACGCCTATGCCATCTAGCTAAAAGTGGCACCAATTAGTTGTTTTACAAGACTGTCTTTTTGTATTCATTGAAATCTGATCCTGTACTGGATGATTTTGAAAACTTTACCAAAAGAGAAGTCAAGCCTATTGCTCTACACATTCTGATATAAGGAATGTAAAGGGTTCCATTAAAAATTTGATGTCTGTTTATTAAAAAACCAACATTGCTTGATAATTGAGTTTAATATCAATAAAATAAGAAAATTATTTACACAAATTTTATCAAAATACAAAAATAAAACACTGTCACGTACATGTAGGTAATAACGATTTTCTGAAGAAATACTATAAATATATACATCGTCTTAGGTAACTATGTGATGCAGTACGTTTAATTTATGAACTGTATTCACCCTCCTTCACACTTTGAGCTATGAATAATGTGAAACTAAAGCTATATAACACTTACCATGGACAACTTATCTTATTGCAATTAAACGAAAATAACACTTCAATTATATATTACATCTATTATTACAGGAAGAATCCAACATATTGCAAATAACAGAGACTTGAACCATGAGTTCACACTTGTCACATGACATGTTTCAGCTGTGGAAACTCACGATAATGCTAATGTATTTCGTATGCTCTCGTGTCGTTTTCACATGCACACGTAGGGGGAAATAGTGATGGTAATCATTATTTTCATATAATTTACTTTTACAGTCAGATTTTAACCGAATTATTCATGTCGCAGCGAGATATGCAAAAAAAAAAGTTAATTTTAAATGTCAGATGTTTTTTTACCTGTCATGGTCAGCAAATACGGTATTAAGTACGCATGAAATGGCGATGGACTATAAAATAAAGTCTTGGAGTTCGGAATGTGTGAATAATAGCGGCAGAATCATTTAAAAGTTAAACCAAAGAGTTAAATATTTATATAATCTCTTAATAGGCCGTATAGCTAAACAGATATATTAAGACGTTTTGTAGCAAGAAAACTAACATATACTGAGGACCTAGCACGAAAATTTGCCAGAGAGTATTCGAAATGTCTTAGACGAAAATTGTATTAGATTTGTACAGCCCCTAATGGGTATAGTACACTGACAATACTCATACAAATGTCTATGTCAAATACTTTCTCGCACTTTTCCGTGCTAGGACTCTAATACAAAGAATTTGAATCAAAACGACACACAGAACATCATTAAAACATATGAAACTTGGCTCATACAATGCAGAGATTACCCGGGGTTACTTTTTCATTGTAAGGAAAGAAAGTATACTTTGGTCTATAAGAATTGCTGCTATATAAAATAATTTACTACAAAATGTTCCAAAATAGACTTAAATGAAACATTATCCTAAGCAACTGTATGGATAGACTAAAAGAAAACCGAACAATCAGCTGTCTACTGGCACCGAAAATAAATATAAATATAAACTTTAATATACAAATAGTAACATTCACAACAACTGCTAATACAATCTATACAACTTTTTATTAAATAATTCACTTTTCATTGCGAGATATTTACAATCTTAAACTTAACGATCAGAAGAAAATCATCCCTTCTAATAAAACATATCGAACAGTAGTGAAACAGTATTAGTTACCTAACAAACCATTGTTATATGCCTAGCTATATTTATCTATCCATTATAGAAAGTCAATACAAACTATAAAAATCTACATTTACTTGTATGTACAAATTTGTAATTGTCTGATATATTTTATTAAAATACACTCTATTATAATATCTCAGTCGTCTGCAGACGAAGTAAATTTCTTAGTTTAAATCTACATACAGAGTGTCACCAAACATTTGTCTATGGTACAGTCAGCTGCACAAATATTTATAGATTTACAATACTTGTAATGGCCTTTATTTTCTAAAATATATATCACATATCGATTAAATAGTTGCTGCGTCTTGATTCGCGTTTAAATAAAAATTATAATAAATATAGCCTATAACACTCAGTGACAAAGTAACTATTTCATGGTGAAAGAATTTTTGAAAGTAGCCCAGTAGTTTTTGAGTTATTTCAAGACATACAAAAATACAAATCTTACCTTTTTATAAGATTAGTATATCATGTAATCATGGTCAGAATCATATGGAAATGCATATACTTTATTTGCTTTATTAAAACTAGTATCTATAGCTTGGTAAATGTACACATATTTATGTAGCTGACTGTACAACAGATAAACACTTTTTAAACTAAAACATCCTAAGTACTTTTCTCATGGACCATTGGATAACAAATTCGGAACGATGAGATCTTGGGCCAAAATGTTTTTTCCAACAGAAAAGGTCAATCAACTTAGCCCTTCAATAAGCCGAATTAAAAATCCCATCAGTGAATCTAAAAAATAAGTTATCAAAAATACCATTTACAACCTTTAAACTTCAACCCTTACGTATCAAAATCAGAACCTTCTGGAAACCAATATATCTATTTTTCCTCCACGTACCATGTTCAATGCCACCAAATTGAGATTTTACTTTAGTACAAGAAAATATTGCAAAAACAATCTTGTACAAGACCATAAATCTTGCACATCAACATATCTTGCATATAGCATTCTATTGACATGCAACATTTGCTATATGTTAAACAATATTTATGCCTAGCTACAAACCACATAGATGCCATAAACAGTAAACGTAACATGTCAAAGTAAAGTCAGATTTTTATCTATATACTGTCAACATTAATATTATAAATGCTTTTTGGTGAAAAACTTAAATGCTTTATGGTTAAATTAAATCTTTGTCAAAACAGAGGGTGCATTAAATTCTTCTATAAACAATTTAGGAACTGAAATGCAATAAATTTTAAACTACCCTCAATCTACTGAATATTTGGCACTTTTTTCATTGGTTTCATGTTCTACTACTTCTCAATTTCTATTAAATAGGTATTATCAATATTTTATCCCTTAGATGGATCAAGAAGTAGAAAAACCACACCAAAGCAACCTCTAAACCTTTGCATTTGCAGTTAAATTCCAGCTAAAAGAAAATTGAGGCATTTTCACCAGTCTGTCCCGCGACAACATGGTCCAATACATTCTTACAAGTCATTTAATTAACCCATTCAACATCATTGAGGTGCTATCTATTATATACTTACAATATACTCGTTAGTTGAGACATTGTGTCTTTAGTCTCGGACTATAAGCATTTTATATTAAATTTGTATATATGTAAAGATGTATTTTTAAACAAATCTTATACTACAAGGAAACCTTTCAATTTTTATACACAAAATGCTTATACTCACGCACTCGATCGTCAATACGCATTCACAACAAACAGCAGTGATAATATTTACATTCAAACTCCACAAAGTATCAACGAACACGGATCACTCACAAATATACATACATATAAAAGTTTTAATTACTCGTATTGAACACTAATAACACATTATGTATTCCATCACTCGCGCGTTCGTATCGTTTGTCGTATCGAGTCCACCGGCGGCGGTGACGTCAGCGGTGACGTCAGCGGCGACGTGTGTTGTGCGTTGT